GAGAGAGAGAGAGAGAGAGAGAGAGAGAGAGAGAGAGAGATGAAGAGAAAGTTACTGAATTGAATACCTAAACAACCTGCTCCCAAGTGACTTCATAGCCCCCAAGAAAATCATCTTCATCTAAACAAAAACCATTTGTTAACTGCCTACTGTGTGCAAGGCACTGTGCTATCCTTTGATTTGTTGGCAGCCTTCAAAAGTTATTATATCTTTGTCGCCACTAAGTCCATAAGCACTTTCTTTGTCAACTTTCACTTCCCTATTGTCTCACTTGCAGTAAGTTTGTTGATGATATATGAAGGAACATTCCTGATCATTTATTTTTTAAATAAATTTACAAAATTTTTATTGATGTCTTTTGTTTTTTTCTTTTGTCACCTACATTTTTCACTATTTCCCTCTTCTTTCCCCCTCCATTCTTTGTTACAAAGAATCAAAAAAGAGAAAAAGACCACTTGAGCAAAATTAACCAACATCTCCACCAAATTCAACATGTAGTGTTCCACACCCATAGTTTCCCTCCCCTTTCTGCAAAGAAGGAAGGCACATTCTCATTTCTTTTCTTTGGGCCACACTTGGCCCTTATAGGACTCATTGTTCTCTCCATTTACATTGCTGTTGTAGTTGTGTATTTTCCCCCAGTTTTGAAAGTAATGTGTTGAATATATGATATACTTTTTCCTTTTAATACTAAATTTTATTGATCTTTTCTTTCTATATTGTTCATATTTCCCCCAGTATTCCTCCCCCTCCCATAGAGTCATATCCTATAACAAAAACTTTTTTTTAAAAAAGAAGAGGAAAAAAATTCTGTAAAATTGGTCAACACAATGAAAAAACCTGATGTTAAATGCAGTTAGATGGACCCCCACCTCTGCAAAGAAACAAGGTTGGGGAGGGAAGGTTGTCTTTTCATATTTTGGGGGGGGACTAGCTTCGTCAGTATAGGGATTTAGTTTCATTTACTTTGTTGTCTGTTCTTTCCATTTACATTGTTGTGTAGATTGTTTTCCTGGTCCGGATTATTTCACTTTGCATCAGGTCATGTTCTTCCCATGCTTCTCTGTATTTACCACATTTATCATTTTTGACAACACAGTAACATTCCATTTCACTCATGTCTAGTTTGTTTAGCCATTCTTCTGTTGACAGGCAGCTGCTTTATAACCAATTCTTTACTACTACAAAAAAATACTTCTATAAATATTTTGGCTTCTGTGGAATTAAAAAAAAAACTGTGACTTACTTGGGGGTATGTGCCTAGCAGTGGGATCTCTGGGTCAAAAGGTATGGACATTTTAGTCGCTTTGTTAGATTCTAATTCTAATTAGAATAATTCTAAATTACTTCCCATGATGGTTGGACCAGTTCACAGCTCCACTAACAGTGTATTAGTGTGTCTGTCTTTGCAGAGTTCCTTTGACATTGACTTTCGAATCTTTAGCCATCTTTGTCAGTTTGCTGGGTATGAGGTTAAAAACTCAGAGTTGTTTGTTTTGGCATTATTAGTGATTCAGAGCAGTGTTTTCATATGGTTAGCAACACCTTGCAATTCTTTTGAGAGTGGTTTGTTACTATCTTTTGACCATTTATCCATTAAAGAATAGTTTCTCATCTTATTTATTTATTTATCTATTTATTTGGGAGGCAATCAGGGTTCAGTGACTTGCCCATGGTCAAAAAGATATTAAGTGTCCTAGGCCACATTTGAACTCAGGTCCTCCTGACTTCATGGCTGGTGTTCTATCCACCGTGACACCTAATTGCCCCATCTTATATATTTATGTTAGTTCCCTATGTATCTTGAATACCAAGCTCTTATCAGAAATATTTCATGCAAAAATTGTTTTCCCCAATTTGTAGCTTCTCTTCTCCTAGTTTGTCAATTTTGTTTGTATAAAAGCTTTTTAATTTCCTGTAATCAAAATTATCTGCTTTGCCTTTTGTGATGCCTCTATCCCTTGTGTAGATAAGAATTCTTCCACTAGTCCGAGCTATAAAAGAACCCTGATCTTTTTTTTCTCCTAACATACTCTTATGGAATTCTGATCATTTCAAGAATTTGTGCTAGGGTATTTAGGAAAGAGCATACTTTACAGTTTATTGAGTCTTTCATGAGAAGCTATTACAGCAGATTTGACACCAGGCCATAATTTTCTCCAACCTCTTTTTAAATATTTGATTTTTAACAATTCCAGGCACAAGCAATGTGAAAATTACATCTTTACTCTTATAATGAGAGTGAAAATCCTGGAGAAATACCTATTCTGGAAGCCCCATCATAGTGGTGATAAAGGATTGTGTTTTCCCATTGGAAATGTTAGAATTTGGAGTAGAGTGCCTGATCAAGGATTGTTCATCCAATAAATCACATATATGCCCAATGCTCTGATAAAATCAAAGATTCAGCAATTATAAAACTCTAATCATTTGAAATAGTGAAACTATGCTCCATTTCCTGTAAAATATACAGAAACATATAATACACATGGTTTATAGATGGACCCCAGTGTCTATAAAGCTCCCTGTGTTACATAGAAATAGAACTCTGCTGCTTCATCAGTTTGAATTAAAAATGATTTTTACTGTTATAATAAGCATTAATTATTGCCTTAATAATTTTGTTGCTGCTTGAGAATTAAGAAAGGCTTTGGAGAAATGATTTTAGGTGGCTTAGGTCTTTAAAAATCTGCCCATGATCATTTTTAAGTTCCTTACAACAAACAGAGGCATTCATAATCATTCCACTAACCATAGATACCTCCGAATAAGGTAGCGAGCCCTCAAAAATGTATGTATGCGTGTATGTGTGTGTATGTATATATATAACATAATATATATATCTTGTTGCTGGTGATGATGTTACTCACTGAAAAGCACTTTCATTATAAGGACTCTCCAACTTTACTTCCCTTCCCATTCTTCCCAT